GTTTATTTATTTATTTATTTTTTTCACTCTTGTTTACTTTCCATTCTTGCAGTTGCTTTTACTCTTCACACCTTTCTTCTACTCTAGCAGAAGAAAATTAAATCCTAATAATAATGGATTGTTATGACTGCATTCATGTGTGAGTAAATCTTATTAGACTTCAATGGGTTGAGGTTGACCTGACCAAATTGCATATATCCCTAGTGTTACAAAGAGGACTTGTCCCACGTCAAGGGGAAGTGAATGGGTATACATGAGCTGTGTGTTAGCTTCACCTAATAGTTTAAATTTCTGGGTTGGATCACTAAATACTCGTCCTGTTATAATTGGTATTAGAGGTATAGCCAGTATTTGAATTGTTGTCACGCTAAGTGCTCGGTCCGGAACTGTCTGGGTGTGCCACTCTGGATAGGCAAGTTGTCCCGACCGTAATGAAGGCGTTACGAGTTAGGGTGGGGGAGAATATTACAAAGGGAACTTGTCCCACATCGGAAAGACAAGAGATCACCAAGGTTGTTGCTCTTCTAACATTGCCTCATTTTGACCTTTTCCAATGTCATGTTCATCAAACCAAATGGCTGTAATTTAGCGGTATTTTTTTTACTTTTTAAAATAAAAGTTTGAAAATTTAAGTACTCATAAGAACAAAGTGGACGCGTGAATGTATATATTTTTCCAATGAAAAAAAGAAAAAGAAAAAGAAAAAGTTATGTTCATTAGATTGTGAGAAAAACCTCACATTATTTTAAAGCACCCAATATCTAAATGGTTTAAGCCCAGGCTCATTAAAAATCAGACCTAATTACTGCAGCCCCAACCTAGAGTAGACAAAGTTCATTAGGTCTAGCCAAAGCTAAATTTCACAGCACAATAAGTTCATTGTTTATGCATTTCAAGCCATGATCATTAGTTAATCTACTTACCTAACTGGCTTTTTCGATTTATATTAATTCTAATTAATTGTTAGATTAATCAAGTTAATCACACAGTGCAACTTTCATCACATGCATTTGTAAAAAGGCATCCATACATTTTTCTTATTTATAAGAATTTCCCATAACAAATCTGTTTTTTTTATATATATATTTTTGGCAGGTAAGTTGAGCACGTGGGCACCCATTTGTCATTAAGACTCGGGCCGTACATCTTTCGTTTAGAGGGAGAGGAGATACTACACGGGCTAGACTTTGATGGTAAAATGAAATACTCCATCTTTTCCGAAATATATGTTTTACTTGGGGAATCTATAATAGTGAAATTTTAATAATTTTTTATTGTATTGATAAGAGTGAAGTTTCAAATATACTCCTGTTAAAAGTCAAAATTGTGTTCCGTAATTAGTGCACTTGTTTAGCAAAAAAATATGTTACATGGATTCTACAAAAGTAGTGAAGTATTAGTTTCAGACATATTGTTCGGACATGAATATGGAATATGTGTATTACTTTAAAATGAGTTAAATGTCTATATTGATATTATATTAGATAAAAATATTATTTTACTTTAGAAAACAAAATAAAATAATTAATAAAATTAAAATATTTAGCCGTATTTGTGTGTCTATGAATTTGGAGATTTGTCAAGTATGACGCATGGATATATATCCGTGTTCGACATACGTATCCGAGTCCGTATAGCGTAGGTTAAAAGGATAATTTGATAATGTTATAAAAAATAGTACATTCAATTTTAGAATGAGACATATTTTTTGAAACGCCTCAAAATAAAAAGATAAATAAGTATTTCCAAAAATAAATAGAGTATTGTTTTTATCAACAATAGGAAAAATGGTTTCCAATTAGAAATTTAAAAGTTAAGTTAATTGGTAATTTGACAGAAGTCAAGCCCTAGAGACTACTAGGGTGGTGACAGCTAACAAGGGAAAATGGCTCCTATAGTACTAGTTGTACAACTCTAAAGCAACGTTTGGATGATTTGGAAGGCAAATGGATTGAAAGGTGAGACAAAAGTAGGATAGCAATAAAATCAAAGTGGGAAAGAAAAGTTAAAGAATAGAAATAACATGTGAAAAGGAAAGATATTATTGCCAAAAACTCTGGAAAGCAAAGAATATAGGGTTTTCTTGTTGATCTTTATATCTTCTGTCACACAACACTAACGAAAATGGCACATTGGCACCAGAATAACCCAATATTTTTCATTTTTTCCCCCTTTGTGTGTCATCTTATTATTGGGTGTTCTACATCAAATTATTTTCCTTCTATTATATCACATTATCAGTATATTAATTAACCTGGTTGTCTTGTTCAACACACTGAGTTTGGATGATGTAATATATATGTGTGTACATATATATATATATATATAGAGAGAGAGAGAGAGATGTGTAAGTTTAACATAATTCAAGTATTTGTTCTCAAATATATGTTTATATTTTATATAAGGTAAATTACATTGATCTTTCTTATTATTTAATGAAAATACAATAATTATTCCTATATATTTAGATTATGGTGAGGCTAACACTTAGAAGTTTCTACTACTTTTATTCCCTTTTATATATTTTTTGGAGCAAAAATTATGGAAGTTCGGTCGAAGCCTCTAATGTTTTTGATAGCAAGAATGGAATGTCTATTCCAACTATTTATTTGCTTAGTATGAAATTTAAAATTCCTAGAATAAACATTCATTTTAATAACAAAAACTCTTGTGCTGTGTTTGGTATCTAGGGATGAAATATAATGTCATTGCAACCATAACCATTCCTTTATTTAGTATGGAATTTAAATTGGAATGAAAAATCATTCCAATGAATGAAAATCTATTTCACAAACTAAAGTTTATAGCCCAAGTAATTTTATTATTTTTATTTATTTTTTTAAAAAAAAAAATCAAATTCTCACAAAATCCTCCTGAGTCCAAAAATTACCGTTGCCACTGTCTTCCACCATCACTGCCTTCCATCACTGTCACCGCTACCACTGTTGCCACCTTCCACCGCCACCACCTCCACCACCACACTGTTGCTGCCATCAACACCACCATCACCTCCATTGCCTTCTACTGCCATCATTGCCGACACCACTATCACTGTAACCGCCACAACTATTGTCGCCTTCCACCTACATCGCTGCCGTCGTCACCACCACCGCGACCTCCGTCGCCTTCCACCTACATCGCTGCCGTCGTCACCACCACCGCGACCTCCGTCGCCTTCCACCTACATCGCTGCCGTCGTCACCACCACCGCGACCTCCGTCGCCTTCCACCTACATCGCCGCCATCGTCACCACCACCGCGACCTCCGTCGCCTTCCACCTACATCGCCGCCGTCGTCACCACCACCTCAACCTCCATCGCCTTTCACGATCGCCGCCTACACCACTGCTGCCTTTCATCACCGCTACCATAATTCCATTCTATGGCTGGTAGTGCATAATAGAGTACAAACTCTTGACAGACACAGCCACAATTAGAATCAATGAATCATTGGCTTAACTTATGTTCTTTATGTCTTAGTTCTGAAGAATCCCACTACCTCCTCTTCTTTGAATGTGTATTCTCGGCTCACATATGGAGATTTATACAACACAAATGTAGATTTCATATCCTACCGTCATGCTAGAATGACCTTATAGCATTGCGCAAATTGGGTCATTTGGAACAAACGAAATGCAAGGTTTTTTCAAAGAAAGGTGTTGACTCCGAAGCAGCTTTTTAATATATGTCATCACTGAGACCATTAGAGGGAAACTTCTCAATGCTAAGTGGAAGATGAACAAGAACTCAATTAAGGTCCGCGTCCCCGATTCTTTCTTCTCCTATGATGATCACCTACATACCAACCAGATGGGTGATGCTCTGAATCAAAGCCTTGTCTCAGACCATGCCTCATCTGATCGAAGTACTCTGATTCTTAGCCTAGTATATATATTGGGTCATTGTAATGATAGGCTTCACTTTGAAGCATTTTATTTTGTTCTTGGACCTCTTCTTTAGGCCTTGTACAAATTTTTCTTTTTCAATAATATAAATTTGCTTTACCATGCAAAAATAAAATAAAATAATATAAAAAATAAAAAAATACACCTTGAGAGTTGGAGTAACAATTTGTACTTAAATTCATTAAAGCACTCAAACTCATCCATTAAAATTAAATCATTGGGTAACTAATATAAAATGAGTGGATACGTAATTAATAAATAAAAACTGAATAGTCATTATAATAAATTGGTTAATGATGGATCAAGAGCGATACTTATCTTAACAAGCACAACAAAATTCCTTTTTTTCTCTCGCAGGTATTCTCTCTCCCACTTTTTTCTACTCTCTTCCCCATTTTTCTTTTTCCTCTGTTTTCTCTTCTCTTCCCCCCTTTTTTTTCTCTCTCACTGTCTCCTCCGTTCTCTCTCCTCCATGTAAACAGTACATATATGGTATGTGTGTGTGTGTGTGTGTGTGTGTGTGTATACGGATCTAGTTTTTTTATTTCCTTAAGTTGCTTGTTTTTATTAAAGCAGCTTAATACTCCAATTCATTTGATCCTTGCCAAATTCAGACAAGAGGTGTGTGTGTATATATATATATATATATATATATATATGCAAATATACTTAGCTGTCAAAAATGAAAAAACTAAATGCAAATATAGTTTTGTGTTTATGTATGTACAGTATTATATATGTATGCGCTGGAAAGAGCTGGAAAGAGGTCAAATTATAATGGATTATTTACCAAAAAAAAAAGGCAATTTTAACGTTAACCCAATCAAGAACAGAACATATCAAGAATGGAGAGATGAGTGCTATACTGCTATGTAATAGTTGTTGTTGTTAATGTTGCTTTTTAATATATGTGTGTGTATATATACACACACTTGTTATACTATATTATATAAGAAAGATCAATCACACCCATGAACCTTAACCCAACCAAGAACAGAACATATCAAGAATGGATCATGATGTTCCCAAAATTGAGATCAACCGAACCATACATGACCCTAATTGAAATCCCATTGGCCAGTAGTTACAAAAGTTGGGGAAAAAAGGAAAGTGAATTCCATTAATTATAATGCAGGGACAGACAAGACACACCACCTAGTCAAAGATGGGGCTAAGATTTTATTGAACTACTGATATATAATATAACAGAGAGACTTTATATATAAAATCAGGTAACCCTGTTAAAATCATCTCCCTTCCTTTGATCCTCTAAATCAAAGTATTCTTTTACTTGTTAATTTTATATTTATTTGGCTACACAAACTCTTCAACAGAGTACTGGAAGGGAGTGATAGAGCAACATAGACAGAGTAATTCCAGAAATACATACACACACACACATAAATATATATATATGTATGTAGTAACTAATGCTGGATTGGATGAACACTAATGGGATATGAGAATGCATCAAGAGGTTGCAATGCAATAAGGCTCCCAAATCAAAAGAGACCTCCTGGGCTCCTTACAACCCCTCATCAAAAAAGGAACCAAGTAGTCAGCTTTTTTCCCCCTGTAGAGCACCAAATCTTGCTGCCCATATGCCTTTGGACTAGAATTGGATAGAATGACCTTGTTGCATCTGTTTTTTAGGGGTGGACATGGTTGGCTAAGTGGGCTCATCATGGTTGCCACCCCCGCGGAATTGGTCCGCCAGAAGTACTCGTATGCATTGAACGAGGTGGTTGCTGCAGAGGCTGGTGATGTGGGTATCCGCGCCACCCGGGTTGGCGGCGGCAGTGACTGTGGTAGTGGGTTTGCCACCTCTTCCTCATCCTCCTCCACATCCATATCCACCAAATCAACTCCTTTATTGAACTTGGATGTACTCCATGTTGAGTTCCTATTTTCTATACCCATCAGCTTCTTCATCATGAATGCTGACCTGTGAACAATTATCCCTCCACTTGACACCTTTGGTACTGCTTGCTCTATCACAATTCCCATTTTATTTGCTCCATTTTCTTTTTCAACCATTTCTTCCTCCTCTTCTTCTTCTCCTTCTTCTTCTTCTTCTTCTTCATATTCTTCTTCGGATCGAGTTTCGGCTCCATTTCCAAACACTTCTTCAAGCTCTTCTACACTATCCTCCACTTGATCAATAGCTTCTCCATGGTTTGGTTCTTGTGAAGGGGGACCATTGACCAATGTGAGGAGGAGGCGACCGTCTTCGCGTTGAGCATGGAAATAGTTTCTCGACGGAAGGGACACAGCTTCAAGGACTAAGCGGCCATTTTCACGGCGACTTTGCATGTGAAGGGACAGCCTGTCGCGGTTGCTGAGTGAAGGTAGAGGCGGAGGAAACGACCGAAGAGGAGGTGGAAATTTTTTGTTGTGTTTAGAACTTCGAAATTCGTCTCTATCAAATGACAGTGACTCTCTCTCCCCTGACTGCGGTGGTTGTGGTTGTGATGACACTTGTTGATGATCTCCGTCCTCTTCTGTGTCACCGGTCTCTGACGCGGGGTACGAGGAGAACCCGTCAGAACCTGTCTCACACCCGAGACTTTCAGTACAAATCTCGAGACTCTTCCCAGTGAGAGAGCTCGATCTTTTGACAAGAGGATGAATGTAAGGAGGTGGAAGCTTGGCCGAGTCCTCCATGTCCTTTTGACACAGAATTGAGCTCCAAATATCGAATTGGCCCGCCTTTTCCATCTCCTTCTTCTCTTTTTCCTTCTGAATAAACCTCCACACGTCCGATTGGCTCCGGCTTTCGAGGTTGTTGCTCCAGTCATCGTCTTCTTCTTCTTCCTCCGAGGATGAATCCGGAGTGCTTGAAATTGGGAATTCTTGAGATGACGCAACCTTCTTCATGGGACGGTGATCACGAGCCAACCATTTCGACATGTCTGCAGAGAGGGTTCTTCTCAGCGGCGCCACTTTACTTCTGTCACAGTCGGATCCGAGAATAGAGACTATCCCTTGCTGCTTCTGCATGAGATGCGCCTCTTCTTCCACCTTTAAATGTGAAGATAGGCGGAACTGGCTCTTGCTGAGAGAAACCGACATCATCTTGATATGATTTGGGAAGATGATCAAGAACAGAACTTCTTCGCTGTACAGAGTGATGAATTTACTAGTGAAAAACAAGAATTAATTAACCTGAACAAATTAAGCTATTTATGGTTACGCAATCCCAATTTACAGGGCTAGTTTTTGTACCAGATACACATGCATGTGGTAACAAATTAAGTACTAACAAATATGTGTATAAAAATAGATACATAAATATATTAACTAGAAGTGTTTGTTATATATATATATATATATAATAGAGAAATGGTATGTAAATAAATAGTACCTCAAGCAAACAACAGCATCCACCAGAGGTCTGCTAGTAGAGACCACCGGGTGCCCAGTTGCAGGGCGAAGGGGATGATGAAGATGATGTTTGAGGAGGCTGTGGATTTGGCTGATGGCAAATGGAAGGTGGGAGTGCTTGGTATTTGTAGGAACCCAAAAAGCCTAGGGAACCGTGTCCGGTGGGACCCACACTACGCCACCATGAAAAGACATTTTCATTATTTTCCATTTTTTTTCTTTTTAAATTTTATTTTGGTCATCATAGAAAGTGCTAAGATATAGAGTGGACAAGCTTACATGAACTCTCTTATTTTTAGAATAAGATACATCAAATTTTTTGATTAGAGAGCAAACACCAAATTCATTACTGTTGGTATTATCTAAACTTAGAGAGGATAATGCATATCACACTCCTCATGTGCAAAAAAAATTTTAAAATTTGATTTGGTGCAAATAGGTTACTCTGACAAATTTAAACCCTAAATTGACTAAATTACCTTTACTGAACTATTTTATAAAATATATAAAAATAAATAATTTTATAAAATAACCAAAAAAGATACTATTGGAGAATGCCTTCACGTGAAAAAAAACACCCCTAAAGTTTTAATTTAGTGCAAATAGATCCCTTTGACAAATTTAAACACTAAGTTGACTAAATTATCCTTACTGAACAATTTTATAAAATATATAAAAATAAATAATTTTACAAAATGACCGGAAATAAAAGGGTAAAATGAGTTTTACGATACTAATTTATATCAGATGCGATATTTTTACACAATATAAAAAGATTATGAATATTTTTTACACATTTTTTTAAATATACAGTAAAAATCTTATGAAAAATATATTTTAAAGATATTTTCTATACTCATCTAATTTAACCATTTTTTAAATAATCTTGAAGCGTTTGAGTTTGGCCAGGCATATGATGATATTTACACGGTGAACTAAGCCGGTGAGATGGAATCACATCAATCTTAAAGATGGGTATCTTAGAGGAAATAACTAAATATTAAATAAAATAATGATTCGTAAAAACGTTTTCATACTGCACATTTAAAAGAAGAATAAGTGCTTTTACAGTCTACTGCGTCATTGAATAAATTTATTTATAACAAATTTAAATGACTTTAATTATTCAATGTCATTGTGACAAAATTTTGTTATAATATCAAATGCTTAGAAACTATTCCGAAACCCTTGCTTTTTAATATATGTATATATATACACACACTTGTCAAATTAAAAAATTGTTCTTTCTAGTTCTATCTATTTTAAGTATAAAGAAAGAAAAAAAAATACGACACATTAAAAACTGTGAATTTTCCTCATTCTCCAGTTAAATTCGTAATATTCTTATTGTGGTTAGACGACCCTATCTCCTCGATTTAGACCAACATTTCTATGCCTTTCAAAATAAAAGATTGATGATTCAAATTTTCAAAGTGAGAGTGTAAGTGTATTTCTTACCAAAATTAAAAATAATTATAATTATAATAAACAATGAGACATTAGTACAGTTAATATAACTATCTCTTAATTTAAAAGAGAGGTAAGATATTTGAGTCTCAATCAAAGTGGGCATAAATGTGTTCTTTGGCTAGTTTTAGAATTTGAAACAGAAGGTGAAAGAAAGAAAGAAGGTATTTAAGATTTTTTGATTTGATCGTCCAATACATTTTAAATTAAGAACGCAACAACTTTACAACATTGATACAGAAGGTGAAAGAAAGAAAGAAGGTATTTAAGATTTTTTGATTTGATCGTCCAATACATTTTAAATTAAGAACGCAACAACTTTACAACATTGATGTAAATATATATAGTATAATGTATTTACATTGAAAATACTGTTGCATCCTCGAATTAATATTGTTGCCTGTTATTGCCATTTTAAATGTATATTATATAGTAGTGCATGTATAGCAGAGTATTGGAATAGTCGACAACAGATAGAATTTGGTAACATAACTATAATAGATAGAATTTGGTCACATAACTATTAATTAACCAAATAGGTATGCATGAGAAATAGTAGCGATTTGATAAAAATGGCTTTAGTAGGAAGCAAATGGAATCACTTTGAGAGGCCACCATGATTGGGCGGCCAAAAACCATGATCAAGAAACGCCAGAAAGAATCTTGCACACGCACACGCCCCTATATTATTATATAATATAATAATATATTTGTGTATAAAAATATAAGGAATAATGTATGTGGAAACAATGAAAGGCGTCACATCTAAATAATAATGGGACATTCACAGCAGAGCTGAGTCTGTCTCTTTGGGGAAAAGTCCCAAGACTTGAGTGGTTTATACGTATGTGAGCACCTAAAGTCATCCACTCATATCAAAAGTTTATGATGTTGATCAGTTCAATGCGGGCATATATATATATATATATATACATTGAAAATTATATTTGTGAACAAAAAAAAATTATCGACACTAGTGCAAGAGATTATTTTTAATATATATATAAAACAATAATTATCTTTTTAGGACCAAGAGAATCTCCTTATAATGATGTTATAATGATGTAATGTGATATAATTAGATTTTTTTTTTTTATCAACATGATATAATTAGATTATATCACGCCACTTTGTCTTAGTAAAACTCACCATATGAGAAATATGATTTGGTATGCAAGAGACATGATTTGTGTTTTTCGACAAAGACGTTGAATTAGTACTTAGTTATTAGATGTGAGTGTACCGCCTCAATATGATTTCTGAATTCAAAGAATAATTCAGCCATTCGTGTAACACCACACTTATTGCAATAGCTTAATTCGATGCATAAGTATGTGTGTGTGTATATATATACCAAAAATAACCTCTTGCTTATTTGTGAGCACAAAATTTATCTACAGTGTCAAAGAGATTATTGGTATTGGTATTGGTATTGGTATTGGTATGGATAAATTTTTTATTCATCGAAGTGCAAGAAATTATTTATAAATAATAATAACAATAATAATCAACTTCTTACGTATAAACAGAACCAATTAAGGCTAAGAGGCATGTCTTCTCTTAACTTTAAAAAAAATTAGATTTTTGCTCTCTCAATTTCTTAATTTATTTCATTGTGTCCGTGAACATAATTTTTGGCCATCCTATTCTTACCGGTGAAAAAAGAACCTCAATTAAATTATATGCTGTTAGTTGGTAAAATTAAAACTTATTGAGTATAAAATAAATTATTTATTTATTTATTTTACAATATAATAAAAAGACAAACAAGTATTGTTCACACATATATATATATATTTATACTTCAGATAAATAATTAAGAGAGAGGGTAAAGAAAAACCAGACTCTGCCACAAATAGGGGAGACAGAGAGAAACAGGATGCGCCTTGTCTGTTTATATTTGAAGTACAAAGCAATACCACACGCTTCCCACAACCCTTATCTACTACCATTTCATATTGAGCTGAATACCAGAAAATCATTAATTTATTATAATTATGATTATTATTATTATTATTATAGGTGTATGATTGAAGTATATACTACTCCCTCCATTTCAAAATATTTATTCATCTTTTCATTTTGAGTTGCTCCAAAAAAACATATCTTATTTTAAAATTGAATATATTATTTTTTATAACATTCTCAAATTAATCTTTTAACTAAATAACTGCACTAATTATAGAACACTATTTTGTCTTTTAGTAAGAATATATTTAAAATTTCACTTTTATTAATAAAATAAAAAAACTATTAAAACTTCATTACTATAAAAAGTTAGATTTTTCATGCAGAACATGTATTTTGAGACAAAGAAAATATTATAATTTTTTTTTTCTTTTTATTTCCAATGTATAATGACAATTAACATTAAAGAGAGAGTTTCTACTCAACCAGACGGAGAAAATAGTTGATTTAAGTAGATTTGGTATTAGTGTCATCTATCCAATAATATATATATATATTTTTAATTTACTATTTAATATTTTAAAAGAACACGGGTGGAAGGAGGTTATTTCAGCGAAGACAAGTATTATTCTGAATAAAAATTCACAATTATCCTTTACGTGTGACGGGTACTTTTTGGATATTATCCTTTATGTCATTTTCTATTACTAAAAGTTCATTTGATGGTACAACAGGGAAAGGAAAAAAATTCAAATCCCACGTATACGTGTATAAATTATCTTTAGTGACTCTTGTTGCGCTTCAATCAATTCAACCATCATTTCCTTATTTATTATTAGAGATTTCCAATTCAACGTGAAAAGGGTTGTCATTTTTTAAATATAATAAGAAAATTTAAAAAGGAGCTCTCCAATGCGATGTTAAAAGGACCGTTAATTTTTAATTTTATCAAAATTGATGCCAATTATAGCACAAGAATGCCAATTATAGCACAAGAAATAGCTACTACTATTTCAGAGAGAAAGAGAAAGACAGGAGTTCAGATTTGGCATATATATATATATATATATATATATATATATATATATATTAAAAAGATCATAAAAAATTTTACCAAAGGATTTAGTTTGCAAAACAAGAATTACAGACCTTGATTAAAAAAAGTAGATAAAAATCAAACCTTTTTCTCAATAGGTTTGGTGAAGAGTTTCTTGGCTTGAACAACTAGTACATCGCAACGGTAGTTGCGTCATACTAGAACACGACCTTTGATGTCAAGAAGGAAGAGAGCAGAGTCCGCCCCTGCCATGGATTAGTTGATTTAGAAAAAAAATTACAGGGAATTAAGCTTGATAAGTTGATTTAGAAAAAAAATTAAACCAAAACCCGTACATACAAGTTAGCAGTTGCAGAGAGAGAGAGGGGGGCAAGCTTGAGAGTTGAGAGCCAGCAACTAAAGCTTGCGAACGGTGAACCCAAACTGAAACAGTGGGCGATGGAAACTGAAAGATATGGGTTTTGATTTTTTGAACAATCTGAAATGATATACCGATATGGGTTTTGATATGAGTAATATGTTTTGAACTTTTTGATTCTTGCAGACTGTAACGACCCAAACCTGGAGGTCTGAATTATTAACTGGGTCCTTATCCGAACCCGAGGTCATCTAAGTCCATCCACATCACTTCTAGTATCAACAATGCCATTCTTAGGTCATAATCATGCTTTACAAAAGC